TTTTTTTTTTTTTTTTTGGGTGGTAATAATGTCGAAAGACTACAAAATCTGGTACTCATGACTCTGACACTTGTTTGAAAGAAGGAACTTGTCTTCCCTTAGGTGGATACAGGTTGGTTTCATGAATTTCTGTTTATCATAAAACTATTTTACTGGTATTTTGCCAAGAAATGTGTGATGGCGTAATTCACTGGTCTTCTACAATTGCACAGGCTATTGATGCATAGCGTATCAGACAACAATTTATGCTAGACTGCTAGTTTATCACATGTTTTATATTATTTTTCATGCCTGTTGTTTCCATAAAAATGATTTCAGTGTGAAAATTCTATTAAATGTTATCTTGGATTATGCAAGCACTTTACCATGTATATTCCAGTGATTAAAAGGCGTGCGGCGAGACGAGGCGACAAGCCTTCTATTTTCCAAGGTGTGATGCGGGCACTCGCCCTATTGAAAGCTTGTTGAGCCAAGATACAAAAATAGGGATTCTATGCCCACAAAGAAAAATTAGTCCCAGTTTACCTACCCAACTAGTCGAATAAAGGAAAAAAATATCCCCAGTTTAAATAACCAGCAGCTGCAACACATTCAGAAAAATAGTCCCAATCTTGACATCAAAACCAGCACCTTCAGACCAAGCCAACACAAGCAATGTCCAGATAATGAAATAGTGGGGCCAAGAGAAAAAATAGCAGAAAAAGCACTGGCGGCAGCAGGGCCGACGACGTTTATAACCGCGGCAGGTATTTGATCTCAGAAAACAGAGAAAAAAATTAAAAAATAAAAAGGGAAAGAGAAAAACACATAATTCTTTGTGATCAGTCTGAAGTTTCTGCCATTGCTAGTTGCTGGAGCACTGCTGAAATTAGGTCGCCTTGATCGGTTGAGAAAAAAGGCTCAAAGTAAACTAGGGTTTTGTCGGAGAAAATAGGAGTAATTGAGAAATATTAGAGTACTGCTGGGCACCTTGGGTCTATGTAGCCGCTAGTGCACTTTGCTGAGGTGTCGTGACATGTGAGGTTCGCACCTTTCGTATAATTAAGATACACCTTCCTGTCAGTATAGTCGTGTTTGAGTGAGAGATAATTTTCACTAACTTTGGAGTTCAACATGGGAGTTTCTTCATAGATTTCTTCAACATCTTACGAGAAACAATTCCATGCAATTATACTGGAAGCCTTCAGCTGTGGTGGGATTTGGGAATGAGAATAAACAATACTTTTCCCTACACTTCATTTCTTCATTTTTTGGAGAGCTAGGTTTTATGAAGTCCTGGCATCTCCACCTTAATGGTTAGGTCTTTTAAACCTTGTCTTAATTGATGGGATGTAATATACTTGCTTATTAGCTGTTGTTTGTCTTACTTTGGCAATGAGTATCTGGTGATTATTTTCAGTTTCTTGCAATGAAGGGAACGCTTTTAAATCTTATATTCTGTGCTATACAACTGCTGTGAGTTTGAAAGACTCGTGAAAGCCATTGGGTATTGTTCTGGTGTTCAGAATGTTGAATGGCCTGATTTTGATTTTTTTACCTCCATGCCTTTAATTTTAAGGGCAGTGTCTGGTCAGCACTTCCACCAATTAAAACTTCGTCTCAACTAAATGGAAAACCAATTGTGCTGGTGATGACATCTATGGACTCTGCATCCTTTTTCCGTGACAAAAGCCTAGGAGCCGAGTCCCCTATATCTGTAAGTAATCTTGTTTTGTATTTTTTTTTTTTCTTTTTTTGTTTACTTGTCTGAAGAGCTTCTGTCAGAGACTTATTTATTGGTAAAAGATAATAAGCCAAATGCCAACCTAAATTTACAGGGTCTAATTGCATCGCTTGCTGTTGTTGATGCACTATCACACCTGGATGGGTTAGGAGAGCTTAATAAGCAGGTTGGTATTTCTCAGCACATATCTGCTTGTAGTTTTATACTGAAGACTTTATTGCTACTGATGTTGCTTGTATATGAAATAATCTTATTGGGATAAATTTACACACTTTCTATGTATTGGAATTGTATTATCTCCTTGGTGCCATACGACATTTATTTGTTATGTAGTCTAAATACTGACCACCTTTGACTTTCTATACTTAGTGTATCAACTATTTATCTTATTTCTATGCGCTGCAGCTTGTCTTTGTGGTTCTCACTGGAGAGACTTGGGGCTATCTTGGGAGCCGGAGAATTTTTCTAGAGTTTGATCAACAATCAGATTCCGTGAAAGGCCTCAACCTGGAAAACATTGAAACGGTATTCCTTCACGCATGTACAATTTTTTTATTTAAGTGAAATGAGAACTTTCAACGAATTTCATGATTTTTCGTAGGTATTGGAAATTGGATCAGTGGGAAAGAGCTATCCTCAGGGCATCAAAACCTTTTTTGCTCATACTGCTGGGGTAAGGCACCACTTGCTTTAGTAGCTTAACCTTTTACTTAAATCCTACTACTCTATTCTGGTCTTTTCTTAATTTTACACCTTGATGCCACTATGATTAGCAATAATTTGGCTAGCCATTTCCTGACAGTCTTATCGATAAACTCTGTAGACTACATCCGCTGTGAATGGAACATTAAATGCACTACAACACGCGAAAGATTCTTTGGCATCTGAAAGCATTATGGTCAAAGCAGCCAGTACATCAAATCCTGGGGTACCTCCATCCTCGTTAATGACATTTTTGAGAAAGGTTAGTTCTGAGACCCTCTTCAACTGCAAGTCTGATTTTGCGCCTTTATCTCCTGATGTTTATGGCATCAATATGGGACTCCCATCAGATTTCATTATATATGAACTTGCGGAAGTAGATAGACTAATCCACACTACCCACTTGTAAAAGATTATATAAAAATGAAAGAGAAAAATATAATTACCTAGTACAAGAGTGCTATCGGAAAATATTCTTCGTTCAAGGGTGGGTCAAAGGAAGAAAATGAATACTGACAATAACTGATAATATCCAACTCATTGATTGAATAATGATTTGTTTGATTAAAACTTCATGTTCCACTTCTATATTGAAATTAAACGTGAGTTTGACGCACTTAGAATGTATATATAATTCTTAAATGAAATAGATTAAAGTACGTGTATTATTACTATTTCAAATCTTCATGCCTTCATGGTTTCATCAACCAGATAAAACTTTGGTTTTCTGAAATGGAAGACTTTCGGATTATCATACCCTTCTTTGCTGAATTTTTTACTCTGTAATTGCTTGCAGAAACCACTGATTTCTGGACTTGTGTTGGAAGATTTTGATTCTGCTTTCAGCAATGAGTTCTACCACAGCCATTTTGATGACCTATGTTAGTGAACCAAAACCCTTTTCTAATCTGTCTGCTTTGTTCAGTCCCCTCATATATTTATGCATTTGGAATTGCACAATCAATCAATAATATATTTAGTCAAAAGAGTGAACTTGTTGCTTTCATGTGCAGCAAATATAAACTCCTCATCCATCACAGCAGCTGCTTCTCTTGTTGCTCGAACTCTATTTATCCTTGCTGGTGGTGAAAATCCTTCAGCTATAAATAACATAAAGATCAATTCCTCTTTAGTTGACGAGCTTATCAGCTGCTTATTGAATTGTGATCCCGGGCTATCATGTGAACTCGTGAAGCACTACATTTCGCCCTCAACAGCTTGCCCAAGCCATTATGTGGGTGTCATATTGGGAAAACCATCTTCTACGCCTTATCCTTCATATGTCGGGGATGTTTCAAGGTTCGTGTGGAACTTTTTGGCTGATAAGACTTCAATACCATCTAAAAATGTAAGCTCCTCATGCCCGAAAGATTGTCACGATGTTGATGAATTGTGCATTAGAGAAGAGGCTGATGGAAAAGGAGTTTGCGTTATCTCAACAACCAGGTAACTTGCAATCAGCATTAAGCAATTGTATTCTGTGGTTAGAGTTGGTCCTAGTTATGTTCATCGACTGTTTGAATTGTTGAAAATATTCAAGGGACAATTATGAAATATATACGGAATCTAAATTATACTAAGTACTAGAGCCCACAAAAAAAAAAAAAAAATGCCTTGAGGTTTGACCTTAATATAGAAAATACCTTGCTAATGTTTAAATTTTTAAAAATACTAGCCAGGTTTTGATCAAGTGTTAGAATCAAATCAAAGGACTAGTTGCAATATTTTACAAAGGGGAAGTTCGATTCACTTTTACAACTATGAACATGGTAATGTTAAGACCCAATAAAGTCCCACTTTTTGACCACGAGCTTGTAGCTCAAGTGATACCACAACTCTTTATATGTAATGGTTGATACAGAGTTCGATCCCTGTATCTCTCAGTTTACCACATCGCTTTTTAGATATTGTAATTAACCTGGTGAATTTTGGATTTATTTTGTAAATAACCAAATGTAAAAGTAAAATTTTGATTTTCATTATGTCTTTTTTTTTTCGGAAATTCAGAATGATGATTGGCCTTATAGGTGCGAATAACTGCAATTTTATCTCAGGTATGTCCCTGCATACTCGACCCGTTTGAAGTACGACGAGTCAGTCGAAAGCTGGACAGTGCTACCCATTAACTCCTCGGATACCATGGGCACCGAGGATCCCATTTGGACAGAAAGCAATTGGGATACAATCAATCTCCGGCTTTACACAGTCCAAACATCTACCTATGACAACCTAATTTTATTATTGGGTATTATCATTACCTTTTTGTCGTACCTCGTTATAGCAATAGGAAGAACTGTCATAAGAAAAGCCTTGAAGCAGGACTGATTTTCCCGCTCGTAATCTTGAAATCGCCTCTGCACAAGCTAAATATGAACATTGCATGGGAAATATTAGTAATTTACCATTTTTTTTTTTGACTTGTTAACTAGAAGTGTAAGAAAATAGTATCGATTAACAGCAGTCCGGATTTTTAAGTGATTTGGCGTGTAGAATTCTTCGATTTTTAAGACTTGATTAAAAAATTTGTAATTGTTGTGTTTAGAGTAATATTGGGATATTAGAAATTGGCGACAGTGCACACTTGTATAAGGTCCCGTTATGAGTCTTATGACTTGTGATATGCATGAATTTTCAATAATATGAAAAAAAAATAATAATAATAATAAACTTTAAACTTAAATGCACATATGGTTTTCAGGGTAATGCTCCTCTATCCACAGTGGGTACATGTTAATATGTCCACCGCTTATGTGGTATACACGCATTGGTGATGTTAATATGTTTAAAAAAAATACTCACCAATGTGTGCATGTCACATAAGCGGTGAACATATTAACATGTGTCTACCGTGGGTAGGGGAGCATTACTGATGGTTTTCCATTAGTTAATTAATTTGTACACCTAAGATTTGTTTGTGTTACCACTTACCGACTAGAATAGTCAATAATTTATAATTTAATAAATTAGTCAACTGCTTAATTTTTTTTTTTTTTTGATTTGGTATAGTTTATAAAAAATAAATTTATTTAATTAATGAAATAATATAAGTTTTATAATTGTATTTATTAGTCATATAGATTTTTCAATATATATAATAAAATTTTACGAAAATAATTATTTATATAATTATATTGTAGTCAAATCGAATTTTTTAATAAAAATTTAAAAACGACGCTTATTTTGAATGAATATAATGTAGTTCATTATCAGTTACGTGCTCGTACGAGTTTGTACTAATTTTAAATCGATACGTTTTGTGTAATTTTGCATAATTTAAACTTCACATAACATTTTCAATAAATTAAAATAAGTAAATTGTATTATATATTGATTCTATTTTAATTTATAGATCTTATTTAATGAGAATATTTAATTTATAAATATTGATGAATATCTCTAACCCGTACATCGCACGAGATTCATACCCGTATTAATAATATAGAGTAGGTATAACTAATTAATTGGAAAATTCATAAATAAATTGTGTCCTAATTCTAATTAAAAGGTAGTTAAAAATAATAGGCTTAGGACAAATTTTGTGACTGTATGGATGCTTATTTAACAAACATATCATGATTTAATTCGACAACTTTTGTTTATTTAACCACCTTTTTCTAGTGCTAGTGAACTTGCTCCATACCTACTTTTTATATTTTAATTAAACAACTAGTTAGGTTCATCAATTTATAAACAAAACAGAAATTAATTTATAATATGAGATGGTTTGGGTCTCTTCCAGCTTAACTAGTGGTCTCGTGTTCGAGCCCTGAGAATGCAGCAGTGTTAAAAACTCTTGAGGGTGAGCTTTGACGCCCTTGTGGTCCTATCCAACTCGATTCCAGATTAGTCGGTTCCCTTGTGGATCCAGAAACTGGAAGGTCCCTGTACAAA